GATTTTTTTTTGATTAATCGGATAAAACAAATACCATGTTTAATTTCAAATGAAATACACAAACAAAGTGTTACAAACAAAGTTTACGTCAGAATAAAACTGCAGGCACATTTTTTTGCAATTGCACTGCACTGGAACGTACGGCATTGCAGTATCGTGCATTCCGGTGCGGGTGATCACACTGTGGTTGGGAGGCGCGTTTGGGGTGCCTTTGAAATGAATGGCACTGCAACGCACCTCCCGCAGCAGAATTTGTCGGGACGAAACCGCAAATGACTTATTTCACACCTTTTTATAATTGTTTTCTTAATAATTGTATTGTAAGCACATGGCACTTGAATAGCTCCAGCCGCAGAATGACAGCTGCCAGTGGCAAGATTCCAGAGATGGCAGCTGAATGTAAATATAGCAGGTAGTGGGCTGGTGCAAAAGCCATCGTTATTGGCCATTTCAAATTGCAATAGCCAAGAGCAGGCTGGTTATTGCACCCGCCCTCTGCTTGCTGTGCCCTCCTCCCAGCGTGGAGGAGAGAGCTAGGGGATCCACCCAACTAATCGATAATGAGAATAGTTGACAACTATTCTCGTAATTGATTATTATCGATTAATCGATTCATTGGTTGTAGCTCTAGAGACAGATTTCAGTTGGATAACAACTAATATACTACAGTGTCATTGCCCTTTAGCCAATGTCTAAGACAGATATCAGTTGGTACCTGCGGTATGTGTCGCATACTGTGACAGACATATACAATATGAACGCGCAACAGACTAGTTACGTCAAAAAATACTTGGTCTTACTTTGGATCACTTTTCTTATTACCGAACTGTCCGAGTTTATTTATTGAATATATCACAAGCACAGCAGAATGAAATATGGCGCAAATAAGAACTACATGAATTTGGTGCAGGAGTCAGTAAAGATCCAGAAAATGGCGCAGCAGGTTTTTGGATTTATGGCAGACATTTATTATCCTGCATTAGCACCAGAATTCTGGCTCACCCGTGACATTGAATTCCCCTAATTGTTTTTATCATTTAGGGATAGTTCACACCAGCCACAGTGTTTTTCGGCCCGATTGGTGCCGGAACACACTGGTTCGCATTCTGGCCGACTCACTTTGTTTTGGGGGCGGGAGAGGGCGGGGCGGTGCATTGAAGTCAATGGCAACGCAGCCATGCCCCCCAGCCACAATATGATCACCCGCCCTGAAACACAGTCAGAAAAAATGCTGCATGCACCTCTCCCACCCCAAAACGAAGCCAGAATGCGATCCAGTGCGTTCCAGCACAAATCAGGCCGGAACACACTGCGGCTAGTGTGATCTAGCCCTTAATGAAATGCAGGGTCTACATTTTCAGATCTATTATAAAGAACAGGAAAAGAAAGCAGCATGTTTTCAGGGTGAGTATCTGATGGAGAAAAGAAATTCAAGTCACTGAGCTTGACAGAAAGCAGGGTTTAGCTCTGTCGGTTGTGTAGTAAAGTAGTGTTACATAAATATTACCTAAAAATAGACATGACTTAGAGAATTCAACAATGAAACGTAATGTGAGCAGGATTAAAAAGGAAATGTTCATGTACCATGTGATCAAAATTCTTCACGGGTTGTGCGAGTCCTGTCATTTTATTTTAGGAAATTTATTTTATGTTAGAGGTTTTATAGATCACAGAATCCCCAAATATGACACAAATCGGACTGATTGAAAACAAACCTGTCACAAGCTGGGGCAATACACACCAAACAGCATTGTGTTCTGAGATTTGGACAGCTAGCTGTCAGAATAAGTGGACAGTGACTGCAGCTGATTGGCTATATTCCCCCATGCGTCTGACTTTTTTTTTTCCACCCAGCTTCGTATATATTTTTTAATTGAAGTTGGTTGAGCAGAGTGGTGTCAGCAGGGCCACCCATGGCTCAAATTTTGGCTGATTTGGCTACAATTCTAGCCATGTAGGGACAGCTTTGGCCCCATTACCTCCTGAGCCTTCCCAATGGTCAGAAGGGTAAGGTCAAACTTGAACTTTACTGGTGAAATAACTACCTTATTGGTCAGTATTTCCATATAACTTGGGCTACCTTTATATTTTGATCTTCTGATTGTTTTTACTTCTGTTTTTTTATGAAGATAATGTCTGCTAATGTATGTGCTCCGTTTTGAATTGCCCAGGTCAGGGGCAGCCAAACTCCGGCCCCCCAGCTGTGGTGAAACTACAAATCACATGATGCATCTCTCTCCGGGAGTCCTGTCTGTGGCTGTGAGAATCTTGCAATGCCTCATGGGATTTGTAGTTCCACCACAGCTGGGGGGCCGGAGTTTGGCTACCCCTGGCCCAGGTTCATGGCAAGTTTACTAAACGTGATCTTGTAAACTTTACACAGTGTAACAAGGACACTCCACTGAAGACCGGAGGTGCAAGTACAATGCAGTTTATTTGCTTTCAAAACGATAGATAACACGAAATCCAACATAAATAGCTTGCTGTAGCATAACAGATAGGGGCTCACCAATCCTCGAGTTGTCACGTACACTCAAGGTGTCCCAGTCTTTTAACAAGTCTCTCTCGCAGCACTGCTGCTCCGGCCTCAATCTTTAGGGCCACTGTATGGTTCCTCCAGACAACAGCAATAACATGCCAATCCTCTCAATATGGTTCACAAACCCACAGCTCCCTGCTGCCCTGGCCTCCACACTGACTCCGGGGTGGAGCTCTCCTGACTCACAGGTGGGGGCCCTGAACACATCCCAGCACACACTTCATGAGGGATGTAAACAGGTGCACAATCAGGTGCTGGTCACCACCAAAGCATGGACCCAGGAATGGAGATTTCTTCCCACCCAGAGCTCTAAGAAATCTCCTGGCTCCAGGATCCCAACCTTGATCCAGAAAACCCAGAAAGAACTGAAAAGGCAGTTCTCTCCTGGTACCAGTAATGTCTTCCTGGAGCCACTCAGCCCCTCTGGCTGAGAACCCTGGGTGACTTTGAGGCCACCTAACACCGTGGTATTGCCTCACAATGCCACAACAGATATATGTGTATGATACAATGATCAGATTCCATGGGAACTGATGTTCTTTACCAGCATTTCCTTAACCTTTTTTAGCCATGGCATCCTTTTAAAAGTATGCAAAATTGTGAGGCTCCCCAGTCTAATATGTCATAGATTTTTGCAAAAACACACAAAAAAGTGAGCTTATCTCTTCACATCAAAGCGCCCCCTTCAAATCAAGATTTCCCACCACCCCTTCAGAGTCACCATTTAAATCAGTAGCCCCCCTTCACATAAGGAGCCCCCCTTTCACATCAGAGGTCCCACTTTCATATCAGTGTTCCCCTTTTACATCAGGAGCCCCCTTCACATCAGTCTTCATTCCCCCTTCACATCACAGTCCCACTACCACAAAATTTTGAGGCACTCCTGAGGAGGCCAGGAAGCACACCTGTGTGTCACGGCACCCTGATTGAGAAAGGATGCTCTACACAACCTGTACAGTATGTAATGGACACAGGACACAGAGTTGGATTTGTATGATAGGACCTACTGGGCCCAGTGGAGAACCAACCATAATGCCGAAAGAGCCATGTTTCGGCTGATACATCGGCGCATCCCTGGCCGAGCGCTGCAGGACGAGAGCGCTGTGAGCGGCCGGCGTCTCTCCTCCCACACTGCTCAGCCGCCTATCGCAGTCCGGCAGAGCATTGTGGGGGCGGAGACAGCGCTGTCACAGGAGGCTGGGCTTTCCTCTCTACACCGCTCGATCAGCCTCCTGTGACAGCGTGTCAGAGAGAAAAGCAAGGTACACACACTCAGCAATCAGTGATCGCTGAGTGTGTGTACATAATTGAGGACATGATGGTTTTAAAATTTTCATTTCAGTGCACCTCTAATAAACACGTCTTATTAAATTATTATTTTCTGAGTTATATAAAACAGCAATGTCCTAAAGGCAGTAACTCACTTTAACCATTTAGCAGTTATCTTTATTTAGATTGTTCTTCATTGATAATATTTGTAATTGGCAGCTATTGCATGTTACACTTTGCACACAAGTGCTCTCTGCACCACCTAATTACATAATCATGTTAACTGAAGAGACTGTTCATACTTTAAAGTGCTTGTATAGCTAAAATGTGTTTTATTATTTTTGGATGGAGTAGCGAAGGATTAGAACCAATATCAATGTTTCTTCAATTTGTCCTCACTGGTAAGGTTCACTATTTGTCCTGGTGACCATTGTGAGGAAGACAGGAAGTGATGGGAAGCCCAAATTTTACCGTTGTCACCAGAACAAGAGGTGAGGGGAAATCTTCCAGTGGGGACATCTTTTCCGATGACAACTGTCTAAGGGCCCATTCACACTTGAGTGTTCTGTTGTGGTGGGTTAGTGCATCTATGGTATTGTGTGCGTTACCCTGTTCTGTGTTAAGGCAGCCCATTTATTACGAATGGGCTGCCAACGAACCACAACAGGAAAAAACGTGCATGATACTTTTATCAAAATGCTGCAATCCATTGCACTCTATTGTACAGTGTGTTGGGCTACCATTCACAATGAAGGTGCATTGCCATGCATATGGCAACATGCATCAACACAAGTGTTTTGGCTGTTCTTGCCACAACATACAAGGATGATTGGGCTCTAAGAGGGCATTTTCCCCATTCCCATGTAGAGATTTCCCCTCACTTCCTGTTGCATCTCCAACACAGGAAGTGAAGAGAAACCTCCCTAATGGGACATAAGCAGAAAACAATAAACTGAGAGGGGTTTTAACAATACCCTACTGTTAACCAAACCTAAAAAAAAGTTTTGGGTATACATACACTTTAAAAGGGCTCTCTGACATATTTCCTGCATGTAATTGATTCAATGGTTTAAAGAACAATTGATAATCATAGCCAAGGAAGTTGGATGAAAAAGTGACAAGCATCCTCCATTTTCAGTGACCCAAGTCCTGTATGTGTTTTGATTGACTGACTTTCTTCTTTTTCCTGCAGCGTATTTATTACCTTTCTCTGGAATTCTACATGGGACGCACATTGCAGAACACTATGCTGAATTTAGGTCTTCAACACGCCTGTGATGAAGCGATATATCAGGTATGCAATACAAGCCCATATTCCATAACATTTTATTTGAAAGAACTCTTAGTTTAGCTTTGGGTGAGCAATGCTGAGCTACATCAACTATTAGATTCTTATATCTGTTGTGGCCATGGTTGTGGTTTCATCCTCTGTCTCACTTTCTATGTAACAGGAAGGGTGTAATTGTTCTGTTGCAGCCTTCATATTGTAATATAATATGAGAAATGGAGTTGTTCCTTAATGGCTCAACCAATGGTTTGACCTGAGAACTTAGAAACCATTCTGTTGGAGCCCTGGATGGATATAGAAGCCATTGGTCACAATACAGGACTGAAAATTGATCTGACCTGGTCTAAAATGTTTATAAGATAGCAACAATGCTGAAGTGTATAGGCCTTATAGTGGCTGCACCTAATTGTGTTAGTCCTGTGTCTTTATGGAGCCCCTAGTCCAAGGCTCGAGCTGTATGGACACTCTACTTTCACCCAAATCGATACTTAGCTCCATCCCTTTCTTGGCACTGAGATGTACCCCTACCAATACAATATCAAATTCCAGAGCCTCCAGTATGCCTCTGAAGTTCTGACATTTAGCACTTGAGTTCTTTATCTCAACATGGGCAGAAGTGGAGGCCTTTTATACAGTCTGGGTCTCGATCTGAAAGTAACTCTATAGGGGCACAGGGATCAATTTAAAGGACTAACACAGGCACTTGAAAGCGCCACAAGCAGGTCCTCCAAAATGACCCTCTCCATTAAGTTCAAAATACACTGCCTGTCCAGAAAAAAAGTCACACATTCTAATATTTCATTGGACCGCCTTTAGCTTTGATTACAGCACACATTCATCGTGGCATAATTTCCTCAGGCTTATGCAATGTCACAACGTTTTATTTCTGTCCAAAGTTGCATTCATTTTTCACCAAGATCTTGTGGTAATGATGGGACAGTCGGACAACTGCGTAAAGTCTTCTCCAGCACATCCCAAAGATTCTCAATAGGGTTAAGGTCTGCACTCTGTGGCGGCCAATCCATGTGTGAAAATGATGTCTCATGTTCCCTGAATGACTCTTTCACAATTTGAGCCTGAATAATCCTGGCATTGTCATCTTGGAATATGCCCAATGTGCCATCAGGGAAGAAAACCATTGATGGAAAAATCTGGTCATTCAGTATATTCAGGTAGACAGCTGACCTAATTTTTTGGTCACATAATGTTGCTGAACCTAGACCTATTATCCAGTGGAAGGCTCTGATCTATTTGCTAGCTAAATCCAGGTGGTGACTTTTATTTTGGACAGGCAGTGTATTTTGCTCTTTAATGTCTGTCAATGAATCCAGGGCCGGCCTTAGGGGTGTGCGAGCCGTGCGGCCGCACAGGGCGCCATGGCAACAAGGGCGCTGTGCGGCCGTCACAGCTCGTCCTGTGGGCGGCTTCTCTCCCCCTCACCGCTGGCCATCCTTTATGACAGAAATCTAAATCAGAAAGGTAAAAAGACGCAGAGATGCAGAGTATGATGGATGGTATGGCGTCTGTCCTGCTCCAAGGCTTGCACACAATGTCTACTGTTCAGCAATGCTGTTGCCTAAGAATTGTTTGGCCAGGTCAGGTTCACTTGAAATATCAGTTCAGGTAGGACGTGACCAGAGCGAGGAAAGTGGAAAGGTGAAATACAGTTTAGTAGGCTATGTACACAGCAAGGTCTTTTGACAGTGTTTTCAGCTGGGTAAGCAAAACTGAGTTCCTGAAAAGGCAGTTCCAATAATAGGTGAAATGTTTTCAGCTGTCCAGAATGTATAGTCTGCAAATTCCATTTAAACCCTGTCAAGTGAAGATCATAAAAGTGTGCAATCTTCAGTGAGGAAATGTCACCAGCACATCAACAGCTCCAGAATAAAAACATTTATTAGTCACAAACAGGAACAATGTATGGGAGCCTATTACTGGCCCGTTGATCAGGCAAACAGTGACTGCCTGTTGAAGGGGCTGATATGAGACTTCCAAACGTTGTTTCTGTTTGTGACTAACAAATGGCTCTTCTCTGGAACTGTTGATGTGCTGGTGACATTTCCTCACTGAAGATCTAAAATAGAGGCATCATCCTCTTTCATGTACTACAGCACTTGCACCCTATGGCAAGGCTGGAAAAATCCCAGGGTTCAGTAGGCAATATGCCCAAAAATTTACAGCTAACACCTAAAAAAATATTTCATTAATTTTCAACAATATATATATTATATATTTATATATATGAAAGCATAAAATTCAGCACCTGAATAATGGTGTAGTATACAAAAGGTCTCCATTTCACAAATAAATTTGTGGTATATCGGTCAGGATCTAGAATAGCTTCAAGCCTTTCCTTCCACACTAGTGATCTTAAAGTCTCCAGGAAATGTTGGAAAGATAGTGGTTGCGTGCAGAGCCAAAAATGGATAATAGTATGCTTAGCTATCAATATAATAACATAGATCCAATTTTTTTGCAACTTACGTAGCTGAGAGGGGGGTTTCAAGAACTGAAGAGAAAAAGCCAAGGTTCTCGAGCTAAAGGAATTCCCTGTATAGAGGACATGTAAGAAAGAACAGATTCCCAGAGAGTGATAATATGTGCACAATCCCATAAACAATGTCGATGGGAAGCTCCCTCTAAGGAGCATTTGGGACAAGCAGTAAGATATGGACTTGGTGCCTTTATTTTTTAACACCTAACTTTTGAGGTTTTCTCTGGTTGTTGTCAATAAACTATGGAAACTATTATACTTATGAAACAATTTATACTTATGCTTGTGGATCACCACCTGTGAAAGGGGCCCATAAAAGACTTGAACGCAAAAAGTAAATATTTGCTATGTTGTAGGAAGCATTTAGAAAAAGATCAGTCCCCTGAATAATTAACCTTTTGTCTTGAATGTTTTCTGAAAAAAACAATGCACTTTCTGGGGTGTGAGTGTGCCTAGGCATTCATGTGCTGACCGCTTCATAGCTCTATTCATGCAGTTTGAGATCTATGGCACCACTGTCTCTGACTACTAGTTTCAGGAGATTTGCAGTGAGATTTGGTGATGCTATTACTGTGCTGCTCACTGTTCTCCTTGTTGGAGGTTCTGACATGAAGAAGCAAAGCCCTGCTTCTACCAAAATGGCCACCTCCACACAGAGACACATTACAGAACAAGGCATGGTAAGTCAATAATGGGGAAAAGATCAGTTGCAGGGAGACCACAATCAATGCAGGTGACCAGTCCTTTGCCATCTGCCGGCCTTTTTTGGGGGACAGCTTTCAGAGTTAAAATGCACAACTGTCTTGTTTAGGCAAATTAACATATTTAAAGTAGCAAAGTTAGGCCTTATGCACACTGGCTTCCCATGTTAAACACAGGAGAAGTTATCTGGGAAGTATAAATAACTTCTATCATGCCCAGATCACTTTTCCCTGTGTTTAGATGTTCCTGGGCTTAGTTGCGTTTGGCCACTTTACATGCGTTCAGCCGCATTAAACCAGGCTAAAGATTCCCAGGATATAGACATTTCTTATTTGTGTAAGTGCAGCTAGACTGAATGCACCTAGACGCTGCTTATTGACTTTTAATCTCTTGCTAATAATACAGTTAACTGGTTGATTTAGCACTACAAAGGAGATTTGTAGCTTGTCAGTCTTGCTATTAAAATTCAATGGTGTAGCAAATGATCACTAAACAAATGGAACAATTTGTTCCCTTTGGAGTAGGCCACAGTAACATGTAGTAGGATCTTGTAGTGATCAGTTGCATATGAATGGAGCATTGTGTTATAGCGGGAGATTAGATCAATACGGATACCCAGGCTCGACCCTTTAATAAAGCAGAGGTAAAGACATTGTTTTGCCGGATGAAGAAACCACACTGGTTCTGAAATGTTGCAATCTCTTTTGATAGCATGTTTATCTAATGTCAATAAAGGACGGACTGATAATGTGGACCTCGTTGTGCTGGTGAACTCAATACCTCTACTGACTTTGCGGCACCATCCTCTGGCCACTTCAGTACCCACTGCAGTTGCAGAAGAGATAAGTCAGTCTGGAGTGCAATGGGATATCTTTAACCTTTTATGAAGCAGGCTGAGGCTGTTGCCTCTGGTGGCATCTCTTTGGGTCATGGGGGGGGGGGGGGGGGGGGTTTGGGGAAAACAGTGGG